TTTGACTTCGACGGTGTTACTTTCTGGAAGGTGGTAGTTTGTGATAGTACCAGGCTAGGCTTTTCTAGCATAAGCGGCCTGGAACTGCGCGGCGTTCGCATTGTCGAAATTTAGCCAGAATACGATCCTGTCATGATTCAGTGTTGCTGGGGATGTCGGATTTGCTTGACAAATAGTTTTACTTGCGTAGTTGTTGCAGCGCTTCTCGACAAGCTGCAGTGAAATCTCTCCAGGATACGGATCGTGCGGTTATGGAAGCTGCGCAGTATCTTCGAATGAAGAAAGGCGATAACGCAGCTCCTCTTGCCAGTGATATTGATAGGTAATGCTACTTCAGATAGCAGCACTTGAATATTTTGCTGGACGTATAAAACGAAATTTGTCTTCTGCTTATTGTGCTAGTATCGCGGAAATCTCTGACTCCATACTTTTGCTGCTTGATTTATGAATGTTTGCTTAGTTTGTGTGACTTCTTCTTGTCGTTTTTTACCCAGTTATCATGTTTTTTTCTCCTGCAGTGATTCGGAAGATGATGAAAAGAACAAGAAAGGGCGTAAAAAGAGCTCTCTTGACCCGGAAACAGTAGATGCTCTCGGGGAGTTTTCGTTCCTGAAAGACGAGAAAACAGGTGCAACAAAGAAGAAAGCCGAAGGAAGTGGTGAATGGGGCGTAAATCAACGAGCTATCGATCAAATGAAGGAAAAGTTCAGGTATATTGTTGTACGTGAAGTAAATGCTACGCACTTGAAACACTTGAACGAGCCATAAGCCCACACACACACGCATTCAGATCAGAGCAGGAAAGAAAACGAAGTAACAGTCAAAGTGAAGGAGCATCAGTTTCTAAGGGATCGACGGCGCATCAGATTCGTGTGGGCCCAGAGGAAAACAAAAAAGACACACCTGCAGCAGGAGCAGGTGAGTTTCTTGTTTGGTGCATCGCTTTCTGATTATTCGCAGTTCCTCTGTTGCATCTATTCGCATTTTGCAGATGATATCCAGCAGTTTTTCGGTGGTAAAGGCAAGCGTGAATATTCGGATATTAACACTGCACTTGGAATCGCCGACGAGGCCACTGTTGATATCAAGGATGATTTCGTTCTGGTGAATAGCCACTTTTCATTTTTTTTTTTTCATCTTTTTTGATCAAAAACAACAGACTCAGTACATTTTTCTATGATACTTTAACCAGCTGTTGTTTTATCTTCATTTTTCTCCCAGTCATCATGACAGTGCTTTTCTACTTTTTTTTTTTTATGAGTTTTTCATACTCACTAAAGTAGAAAGGACAGTACGAGCCGTAAAACCCATACATGCGCTTAAATTTTTCTTCACATCCCCTTATTAGCATTTCGTACATTTGTTTAATATTGCTTTGGATATTACTCAGTGATCCGCTTCGTCTTTTTACTTTTTCAATTCTTCACCAAATGACGACAAGTCGGGTCCTTTCTAACGTTCGCCACCTTGTTCATGCAACTTCACTGGACTGAAGCCGCAGGATTTCATCGGAGATGTGCTGCAACTTGTTGTCACCAGCGATGGGTCATTCCATGACTGGATAGACCATCGTTAGCTTTCTTACAGCGAGCATATCATCCTTGTTTTACTTCCATACAGCTCAAATGGTTCGCTTTTGAGGTCTGAAGTCCAGTAATAGTAGGCTGCCGAATTAGCATTTCATTCGCACTGTCATGTACACCCATAATTTTGAGATTCTGGCACCCGCCAGGCGCGGTTCTGCAAGACATTCTTGCTCGAGATAATTTTCCTCTGGTCCTCATACCCCCTCATTTTGCTCTGTTATTTGTCACTGTCACCACTGGCGTAACTTAATCCCTCGTTGTCAGTTAAGGAGCAAAAACATACAGCAAATTTTGCTTTTTTTCTTTTCCATGAC